CTCATTGAGAGCTAATTCCTAAGTAGCACAACAGGTTCTGATTTCTGATGTGGTTTTTTTCAAGTAACAAAAGTCTCACAGGATGAGATCTGGATTCTCTGCTGCATGCCGCAGAGCAGGGGGGTGGCTGAGCCCTTGGAACTGTTAGCAGGGTGTTTGACAGCTTGTCCACACCAGCCATGTCAGCCCTCGGTGCCACCAGCACTGGGCTGTGCCTCACCCCCCTAATGCTGAGAACAATTCTTTGGTGCCATTTCTCTGTGGCCATAGATCCACATTCCTCTGTGTGCCACGGATCCACATTTATGTGGGTGTTTGTGATTTGACAACACTGCCATTCAGGATACATAGACATGTGCAGAAATACAGTATTATACAAAACCAGCATAAATGGTAAATTTATATTCAGTGATTTGGAGTTTTTTCTGTGAAACATGATTTTAAAGACTGACAATGAGAGAAAGAAGATTCAGATTCAAAATATGTAGTAATATAGATAATTTTAGATAGTCTTTGTTAGAGAAAGAAGTAGCTTTATATCAGGCAGAGTTATGTACAGCATTTTCATGGGTAAGTGGGAAGGATCAGCGTTTCCACAGGCTTTTACCTGAAGTCAGTAGACTGCTGAATCAGTTTCTAAATAATTTACTTGGACTGGAAAGATGGATAAAATTACTGTCTTTCCAAACTCTCTCAGAAAAAAATGTGTGCTCCACAAGACTGGCAAAGGAGGTTACAGTGACCAGGGTCCACATGTTTTAATTCTCTGAGGTCACTTCTGCATGCTCATCTCCTCTTTTGGGTCTGAAACTTCATTTCCCTTTCACAGCTGTGAATTCTCTTGTGGGCCCTGCAGATGGATTTGATAAATGCTGCTAATATCACCTCCTGATCTACCAGTGCTCTGACTTTGGTCTGTAGGTCTTGATGAGTAATTGCCATTGTTCTACTCCAATGACTGAATTAAGTTGCCCTGTTTGAAGGGGTTCATACGTGTATGATTTTAGCCAAGGTGGCCCATTGCAGTGTACCCAATAGATGCTGACCTTTTACCAGTGCTTTAAATTGAAGTAAGCAGAACCTCTGTTTCTGCAACTGCCTAGACTCTCTTATAACCCTTTGATTACTGTGAAGCTGCATAATGTAGGAATTTAGAATTTTGTGCATTGCTTTCTCTTCCACCCCAGCACGCAAATGCATGTTACAGCATTGCCAAGAAAAAGCGACCAAAAAGTGAGACTCCCTTCAGCAGGTTTTGCAGAGTACACAGCACCCTGGAAAGCCTGCAGTTCTGATAATCCCCCTAGGAGGTGATGGGCACTGCATCTGACACAGCCATCAGTCCTGAAAGCTTTTAATTCTCCTCAAAATAAATAGGAAATATCCTTTACTGCAAATGCAGTCATTCCTACACATACTGTGTGGCTGCATTCCCAGCAGCGAGGGTCACAGTGGCTCACAGGTAGTAGCCTTGATATACCTTGATACAGGTAGTATACCTTGACAGGTATTGATACACTGGATGGATGATGGATGGATGGATGGATGGATGGATGGATGGATGGATGGATGGATGGTATTTTCATTCAGGTGCTCATCAAACATTCCCATTGGGCTGGTCACTGGACATTGTAGAGCAAACATCTTGATGTAATATCATCAGCTTGGTGTTGGAGCAGATAAAACGTAGACCCTGCATCATCTTCACTGTTATTTAGCTATAAATACATTGGTGAAACTTAGTTTGGAGGAAAAAAACAATCTTCTGAAAACCACCAATGACGTATAATTCTGGAATGGTCTGCCAGTCACAGCATTTTAAAATCTCTGTGTAATTGCTCAAATTACCACAGCATGTCATGTAACACCTTAAAGATTGGTTCCTAAAGATTATCTTATTATGAGTAAATTAAATAGAACAATATATTGCTTTCTGGCATTTGAACTTTTTTTGTTGTTGTTATTTTTAAGGCATTTAGAGTGACAGACATACTCATGTTTCCTGTTCCAGCAATGACATTATTCACAGTGGTGATTGGTGTACAGTATGGAAATGAGTGAGCAGCTTGTGGTGAAATTGCCATGAAAGGAGTATGTTCCAGGTGGGGTTTTTTAGAGACAATGTTAGATGCTTTAAAAGTAAAGGCAATGCCCTGTGAAATTCTGACTGCTCCTCAGTATCATCTTGCCCATGTTAATTTTCATTAATTTTCTGTCACGCCATGTTGCTCCAGGCACCCGTGTACCTGTAAAGCAGATAGAATTGACTGATGCCCATGTCAGGCCCTGTGCCTTCTTTTAACTAAACTTTGCTTTTAGGGCAAAGGGCATTTGTAATTCATTGTGACAAGGCTTAGTGAACACCTTGCCTTTGCAACAAAAATCTTGCATTTTGAGATTACAGGCTTAAATGAGAATGCAAGTGCTTTTCACACCAAAAAATAATAGTTAAAACATGGTCTTCTGCTGAAAAGAATAACTGCCGTTTTCTCAAAGTGCACCGCTCAGGTTTTCTTCATCTCTTCTGTTGCTCTCCTGGCTGCCTGCAGTGCTGCCAGGTGAACACAGAGAGGTTGTAGGGGGTTCCCAGTGCTCAGCCCTGAACACACAGATAACCTGTCCTTGCCCTTGCAGGAGCCAGCAGGTGTCTGTCTGCACACTCCTGCACGTGTTTGGACAGAAGGTTACACGTGCTGGAACAGAGCCACTTAACTAGGAAAAAATAATTTATAAAAGTGCATTATTATTTAATATATGGCAGGAAGTAAAGGCTTTTGCAAATAATCCAGTAAAAATATTTGTTTGTTTTACATGTCATGATTGAATTCTTCACCATGAGCATTCTCTAAATCCTTCTAGGCACCTAGCTGGGCTTTGGCTTCAGGTTGAAGCTGTCGCTTTACCTGGGGAAACTTGGGAAACTGGCAGCACAGAACACAATGCTGTCTTGTTCCTGTTATCTGCCACCAGTGTCAGCAGCTCATCTGCATGGCACAGACCCTGCGTACACAACTGCAGCAAACAAACACAGCAGAAACTTCTGTGGATGATAATGCACATCCAAATGCTTAGTCCTTTAAACCCCAGGCCTCACTGAATTTGCAAATATCATCATAGCTAGAACAATCTGAATGTATAAAATTTTGAAAATGTGAATTGGTATGAGAGGACAATGCATCAATTGAACTTCGCCAACCCTTGGGATGCCCATGAGTAATTTATACCATTGTGTTCTGTGGAGCATTGTTCTTTCATTCAGTCCTCACAGTTTAACACTTCAGAAGCAGCCTTTGTCCTGATACCTCCCCTTCCCTACTCTGAGCAGTTTACTTGGACCAGTAGGAAAAATGTATAGACATACATTTCAATTAATAGTTTTAACTGGGGATGGCAACTTGTTTTCCTATCCCAGATTCACACAGGATGGCTGATAGCTGTAAAATGGGGACACACGGAGCAGGAAAGGGATGGTGACATTTGTTTTCATAGCCATTGTCCATGTATTGTGGCTACCAATCTGTTCTGCTTACTGAAATACAGAATCAGAGCCTGGAAACATTCATGGTGATGGAAACATCCATTTATTCTTCAAGTGCATTGAGATTGCTTCAGTTAGACCAGTGAGTGCTGGACCAGCCCAACACTTTTATTATTAGATACATACTGTAAGTTCCCACATAGATATTTCAAAATATTTATCTAAGCATATTGAATTCTCAGGCTTTCAATCAGATGTTAAAACAAGCACAAATTGTCGCAGTTATTGGTATTGCAGAATCTTTCCAGCATACTGTCTCACAGAGTTTGGTGTCAAATGAAATAAAGCAGGGAAAGCTGCCCATCACCTGGCATCTTCATGTAAAGATACCTGCATATGGCAGGAGAGCCTGGAGAGAGCTGGGTGAGCTGTGGAGAGGGAGCTAATCAGCAGTGCAGGTGGTTCAGGTAGCTGCTTTTCACACAGATAATTAATGTGTACAAGTAGCTGCTAATTGCACATTTCAGGAATGATTTATGAGGTGACAGAGGGGAAAGGGGGACACGATCTAATTTCTTTGGGAACCTCTGCCATTCATACAATGGTATCAGCACAGCTGTGAGATGGGACATGATTAATGAACGGCGGGCAAACACGGGACAGCGAGCGGCGCTCGGAGCCAGGGCCAGCACCGTGGGCATGAGGAGCTTTGTCCTCAGCCTGCAGCTCCCCGGGACTGGGGCTGCACCCGGCCGGGGGCTGGAGCGAGATCCTCTGTGTCCGTCAGAACAGCTACGGGATCAATGGGGACGGCTATCACTGAGTTGGGAGTGGGTTTGTGTTTATGAACAGAGACTCTGGATGTTTATTCTTTCTGTAGAGGTCGTGGGGAAAACAAATGTGGCTGGGACTAACATTTGTACAGGACATTAAATCTGTTAAACACCTGCTTGTGTGCTCTGCCTGGGAGCCCCCTTCCCCTGCTGGCACATATCCCTCTGCTCTCTGCCGTGCCCCATCCAGAGCAGCTGTACAGGAACTCGGCTTGGCTTGGGAGGAGTGATGTGCACATTGTGATTGTTGTACCTGTTATCTGCACTAAAGATAATACAGACTGATATGATGCATTTCACTGACATTCTCATGGGCTGGTTAGCGTATCAGTTTGCTGTTCTTTTTTAATGCTAGTCTAGTTTATCTCTGAAGAGACTACTAAGGAAATTTCAAGAAATGTAGCCTTCCTGTGGTGTAAGTGCCCTTATAGGGCAGTGCTGTGAAGAGCCAGTGTTACAGCTTTCACTGCGGAAAATGAATGTTTTCAACACTTTTCTCAAGGCACTGTTTATGTATCAAAATAGTCCAGACAGTTTTGCACTGTGTTATAAAAACTATTCTACGAAGGCTATACCTCAAGCTGTGTGTGATCATAGTTTTCTTTTATTTCCTTTTATATAACGTAGTATTTTTAAATTGCTGCAGTTCAACGTTAAAGAGTGAAAGCATTTATTTCTATCTTTTATAGCTTTTAGAATTTGACAGAGAGCTGTCAGTCTTTAAAGACAGATTGTATGAACTGGACATCTCATTTCCTCCCAGGTAAGATTCATATATAATCCATTTATTTAACTAGCTACAACATAATTATTACTTGCACTGTTGGTAAAATGTGAATGTTCCCATATTTATTGCAGAAATTATAATGATGTCTGTTCCTTTTATGATTGTTTATTCTCCCCACATCCCCTCCATCACTAATAAACCACATGCCAGTAGTGCTCCATAGCTCATCATGTGGGTTCCGCTGATCCTGTCTTTTATAGCTGCTCTTAAAACAGACCTGGCAGGAATGTGTGCTCAGAGATGTGGAAGGACTTCTAAGCACTGGGCCCAGACCACCTGTTAAATCACGTTATTGCAACCATAAAGACAGTCTTTGCCTCAAGCTGTTGGATGACTGCAGTCAGCTGGGGGTGTAGAGCCTACTGCCCTCCCTCAGGGAAATCCAAGAGGGGTATCAGAGTGAGGGCAGCAACTTAGATTCTGCTTTTTCTGTTTCACTAAACATCACATAACTACTTAAGACTGTTAGAATAAATTGGCTGGTTTAGTACACATGCATGATTTTAGTCAGAGTGTCCCTGAGGTGTTTTACCCATGAATGGACAGCTATTGCTATCATACAAAACCAAGCATTTTGCAAATAGCAGTTCTATTTGGGAGAAATCTGTGGAAGATTTGGTGCCATTCTATACATGTATGGTCCCTTTCCAAGAGTGAGGAAGTCAAATCTCACAGTTGCTTTCAAGGGAAAGAAATACTGTATTCACAAAGAAAAAGTTCAAAAAATAGTAGAAAAAAGGCAGATAAAACTATGCTTTTTATATACTTTCCTGTTAATAGATTTAATATGTTTGAATACTACTATTTTATGTTTCGTGGACAGATAGGAAAGTATGATGTTTTGGCATACACTAAAAAAATTTGGGAAGCTTGCCTTTTGTGATCATAATCTCATTGCTTCTTAGCAGCCAGCTGCCATACTGATTTGTATTGATCGCCTGGGACACTGGAAGTATGCACGGAGTTACCAGCACTCTAAATTGTCCTTATTGATTGATTATGATAGCAGAGCAGCAGGGTGTGCACGTCCCTGAGCGTGTCTCACTCGTCATGTGTCTGGGCAGGGCAGGTGAAGGTGAGGGGAGGTGATACAATTTTTGTACCATACATACTCTTCTTCTTCATTTCTCCCGCACTAGTGCTTTCGGCTAGAGCAAGGCTTACCAAAAATACATTGTGCCATGAACAGTTTTCAGCTTCTTCAGACTCCATAAGAGCTTTTCAGTGTCATGCTCCCCTCAAGCAGAGATCAGAAATTAGGTGTAAATAGTCTCAGTGTGTTTTAGTTCTACTCACTCTGTTTCCTTCTCAACAACTAGGTAATAGTAATAATAATAATAAATTATTAAAAAAAATTATATACTGAGAGATGGCACGTATATATAAAGAGCAAACTGGCTTTTTATTAGGATGTTTTTTCACCCATCCCTCCTTGCTTTCTGTGTCATAAGGCATGGACATTCTGTTGCCCATCCTGTGGTCCTTGCATGGCCGTAGGCCCAGTAATGTGTCTTTAACACAAATATTTTTAATCATACATAATTTTTGGTGTGTATAAATAATTACTTATATAATACTTCTATGAGAGTTATAGTTACAAATTGAATTTGTATCTGTAAATGGAATGGTATTAAGGCAGCACAGCAAATTAATGTTTCTGCACATACAAAGGTGTTTCCTCGGAGTCTTGACAGACTCTCTGTTACTGCATATTATCTTCAGGACTTTTTAGTTAGCTTTGAATGTGGGAAGGATTGGAGAGCCACTTCTGAGCTCTCCTACAGCCACATCTAAACCTAGCATTTCTGCAGGCGTACTTAGGGAACCCAAAAGAATGATAATCTATTATTCTTCCCCAGCGCAATACTGTAATTTAAGACCAAATGTCTGCTGAATCTGCTGTGAATTCTTCTTTCTGATGTGGGTGACCATCATGATGCAGTGCAGAGGGAGGGGTTCTCAGGTAGTCATCCCTTAGAACCATCTAGGACAAAGCCTTGACTGAGCTCAAGGGTTCCTCCAACCCAAACCATTCCTTCATTTTGTGATTTTATAGCACTGACAGCATCTGCAGGCCTGTCAGTTATCTCCTCTCTGTTCAGCATCCCTAAAGCATTTTCCAAACTCATCTTCAATTCTGAGTTCCTTTCAGTTCTTTAATGTATGTGCATAACCCACGCCAGCTCACCACCCTGTATGTGTGCCCAGAGGAGCATGCCAGGGGTGCAGTGAATGAACTTGCAGGAGAAAGAGGCTCATCCTGCCTGTTCTGGACCCGGATCTGCTGGTGCTGTGTCCACAGGGCCCCGCACACATTCTGTCCTTGGGGCCTGCAGGGCAGGGGCAGGAGGACAGAGGAGCCGGGCGTTCCTGGGCCCTGTCAGAGCCCCCCTTCCCTCACAAACCCTTCCTCTGCCCTGTCAGAGCCCCCCTTCCCTCACAAACCCATCCTCTGCCCTGTCAGAGCCCACCCTCCCTCACAAACCTTCCTCTGCCCTGTCAGAGCCCCCCTTCCCTCACAAACCTTCCTGGGCCCTGTCAGAGCCCCCCTTCCCTCACAAACCTTCCTCTGCCCTGTCAGAGCCCCCCTTCCCTCACAAACCCATCCTCTGCCCTGTCAGAGCCCCCCTTCCCTCACAAACCCTTCCTCTGCCCTGTCAGAGCCCCCCTTCCCTCACAAACCCATCCTCTGCCCTGTCAGAGCCCCCCTTCCCTCACAAACCCTTCCTGGGCCCTGTCAGAGCCCCCCTTCCCTCACAAACCCTTCCTCTGCCCTGTCAGAGCCCCCCTTCCCTCACAAACCCATCCTCTGCCCTGTCAGAGCCCACCCTCCCTCACAAACCCTTCCTGGGCCCTGTCAGAGCCCACCCTCCCTCGCAAACCCATCCTCTGCCCTGTCAGAGCCCCCCTTCCCTCACAAACCCATCCTCTGCCCTGTCAGAGCCCACCCTCCCTCACAAACCCTTCCTGGGCCCTGTCAGAGCCCACCCTCCCTCGCAAACCCTTCCTCTGCCCTGCTGACACCTGCCAAAAGTAGGGCAGCCACAGTTCAACAAGAGACCACGTGGCAGCTCTGCTATGTTAGACAACCTGTACAATATCATTCCAACAGAATGTTCCTCAGACACTGTTCACCCACTCCTATATTTTGCAGTCTTTTATTTTATACAGTGAATGTTCATGTTTTCATCTTGTTATCCTCTGTGATCTAGTGTAGCATATAGCAGCCCAAGCCACTGGAGACTAAATACAGGTTAGAATTTTAAACTCTGTAAGCTCTGTCACTCACAGGCTAAAGAGTCTGGCCATGAGCAAACAGCCCAGTGCAAAAGGCAGGAGGTGTGAAAAAAAGAAGTAAAAACATTGTAGTGTGTCAATATACAGGTGGGCAATTGTTACCTTTATCACTGCTCTCCATTAATTATTATAATTATTCTTGTAGCTGTTGTATAACAAAGATAGGAGCTGACTTTAGCAAGAGTTCACACCTACATACAAGGTTTGCTCTCAGATAAGGCTGCATGCACAGCAATCTCATGTATTAATCATTCTCTTAAAGTGACCTATTCTTGTTTGTTGTTGAATTAGGCTGTCATGTAATTTACTGGTTGGACATATGTTTGTGTCTTAGATACCCTCTGTGTGATATTTGTCTCAAGCAGACCCTCTGCACTGGCAGCGTCTTGGCTTTTGATGCCTCTGAGCAGGAGACAGGTCGAATCTCATTTACTCTAGGCAGAGTTCCTCCTTTGGAATTCTCTCTAACACTGGCTCATTGTTCTGCAAAAATCTTATTTAGTCCATAAAACATCTTTTCTCTACCTTGTATTTTGCCCCATCACCCTTCTCTGTTCTAGGAGGTTGCCCAACGACACGTGTGTTTTTGTGGTCTGATGTACACTGAGCCAGCCAGCTCTGCATGAAGCAATGCCCAGCGTGCTCCCTTGTTCCTTCCCTTCTGCAGAGACTATGGGTGCCAATGCACAGAGCCCCAGTGTCACCCTTGGGTATGAAATGGAAGGCCAAGATGATGGTTTAGGTGTCAGCAGGCTGCTCTTCCTTTCCAGTGTTCTCTCTGCCTCTCTCATGTTCTCAGATCACAGACTGCCTGCTGATGGGGCAGGACAGCACTCCTGAAGCAAATGGGATTCTCATTTCCTAGAACGCCTGCTCAGTAGTGCTGCTGGTCCTGTTGTCTCACAAAAGGGGAGTTAGGCACATAGATGAAAAAGCCCTAGGTTATTTTTGTGCTTGCATTATCAGTTACTTTTATAACACTTTTTTTTTTTTTGCGAACTAAGAAGTATTTTCTACTGAACAGAAATACTTCAGACTCACTCATGCACTGTAAAACTCCTTCCAGGTATTAGTGACGTATCTGAAATCATCCATGGATCTCTCAGCCCCCCAACAAACAAATTCCCACCTGACATGATGCAGTTGTCTGCTTCCAGCATCTAAGGCTGAAGCACAGAAACAATTTCCCAGCTGGAAACAGAGAGACAGCTGTCATTTCCTACAAAACAATTTGAATTTAATTATTACAATGATTTTCCAGACAGATCTTGCCTCCATGGTTCCACTCACATTAAACCAGTGCCACTCTCACCAATTCTCAGTTTTCAAATTGAAACAGAGTGTTTCTTTAATTTGTGAGGGACCAGACAGCATTACCCAAGGTCTGGTTTAAGGAATTGTGGCAAAGGGGAAAAGAAAGGACCACAAATGAATTTTAAAAGTTTCAAAGAATTACTCTACATCATGTGTAAGGTAAGGACTACAGACCACACTGCCAGCAGAAAATAAATAAAGCATTCTAAAGAGCTCACGGCCCTTGCTGCCAGCCAGGCTGTCCCGTGTGAATGTAGTGCTGAAAAGCCCAGGAGTTTGGAGCTTGAATCCTGACCCATTTCTTCCCTCAGGTTCCCAGGGAGGCATATTCCCAGAAAAGACATCAAGCTTTATCACAGTCATAG